GAAGAGTCAGACACGACTGAACAGCTACAACAAATAAAATTAAGGAGCACAGGGGAAGTCTTCTTGAAGATGGTAGGGCTTTAGGTGAGACTTGAAGAAAGTCAGGGAAGTCGGAAGGCAGAGAAGAAGAGAAGGGAGAGAGTCATGGCATAGGGGACAGTCAGTGGAAACAGTTCAGGCAGTTCTCAGTTGTTGTTCATACTCAAAGAGGACCAAAATGATGTTGTTATGCAGGATGTGTCCACCTGTGGCTGATCAGACTGACATGAGCGTGGAAGGCTCTACCACAGGTCAAGCACAAATGGTCTTTATGAACATTTGTAATGGAGATGTTTCTAAATTTGTGCATCTCACAGGTTTGGCTTGGGGTTTTGTTTTGTTTTGTTTTTTCTTTGAGCTACTACAACTTTGCTTTGCTCATAGAGCACAGTACCTTCTTTGATGTAGACATGCCACGTGGGTGGTCCTGTGCCAGCATCTCTCATGTCTCACGATCAGTTCCAGAGAGAGATCCGGAGAGAGTCCTTGTATCGCTTCTTCCAAACTCCACGTGCTCTTGCCGAGTGTGAATTCTTTTTAAATGGTCTTTTTAGTAAACATACATTTGGCATTCAAACAACATGGCCAGCCCATAGGAGTTATGCTCTCTGCGATAGAGTTTCAACGTGTGGCAGTTCAGCTCGAGGAAGGACCCAAGTGAAACATACCTTATCTTGCCAGGTGATCTCCAGAATCTTCCTAAGACAATTCAAAAGGAAGTGATTCAGTTTCCTGGCATGACATTGGTATATCATCCAGGCATACGATGAGGTCAGCACAACAGCATACGTGCTTGTTGACCAGATTAGTTTTGATTGCAAAACCCAATGCCAGCTTCATGGCACTCCTCTTCTTCACTGCAGTCACTCCGGAAAAATAAATATCTCCTACTTCAGTAAGTTGGTCAACATTTACCAGCCTTATTTCACTCAAGGCTGCTATTTGGATGCAATACCTGCTGAGTTCTCTTGCAACAAGAGCTGTTTTTCTTTCAGGTCTACTGGATTTCTTGTCGGCTATAAGTTTGTGCACAGTCCACATCCTAATAGTGAGTAGAATCATCTTTGCAAAAGTTTTTGTACATTTTTTTGTGTTTTGATGGCAGGGTAGGATCCCCAACTGCCATGGTAAGCAGGCCAAGATTAGGTTGGGTGAAGCAAACAATTTTTAGGGCATCTTTTCTAGCCCTTTCCTCATTGCAGGAGGTGAGCAGTGCAGTCCTTTAAAAAGACTGTTCAGACATCCAGGAGGTGGCCAAATCTCACCACTGCTTCAGTCTTGTGAAAAGACAACCATATGGCCTGGGCCATATATGTGCAGGGTTGTGACTACAGCTCCCATTGTAGCCACATCTGCTGCTTCGTCACTTGCCCATTGCCACAGGACTTTTGAGGTAAAATGGTATGGGTGATGTCTTTCGACTCTCACATAAATTGACAGACCTGCATGAAGTCCTCAGCCTCTCTCTTCCAGAGTCATTGGAGTCCAGTGACAAGACAAAAGTCAAGACAACTGATGACTGATGTCTTGGGATGCAGTGAATGACCTTGGAGTCAGTCTTTGATATCTAACCAGGCTCAAAGCATGCCTGCTTCAGCCGCCTTTATGGCTGTCAGAACAAATTGTTCTCATCTGCCCATTCCGCCAGGGGAAGTCTTCACATGTTTAGGGTAGACACCCCTCTAATTCACCAATGGTTCTGAGGCCTGTCAATTACCCTCAACCTAGTTTTGCTCATCTGCTGAGATGGTTTACCAGGGTGTGATCACTGTGCATATTACAGCTTCTTGGAGGCATAGGTGAGAGTTGGGTAACTGGTTGGACACTGAAGGTGAATGAGTAGTCTTGAAAAGGCTTCAACAAGCCCTCACACTAGAGGTACTAGTCTTCCTTGAACTCCCATATACCTCTCACTGAAAACACACGAAGTCAGGAAATGGAATGTCTTGTTTCAGGTACAGCAAGGTGGCACTGTCACTGCATTGTAGAATATGTGGAAGGAAGGAAGATGTAAGAAGACTGGAAAGGTGGGAAGGGGTCAGTTAAGTTAAGAGCTTTAAAAACAGTATTTTATGTTTGATCCTGGAGGTAATAAGGAGCCATTGGAATTGATTGAATAGAGGGTGAAATAGTCAGATCTATGACAATACTTTACACAGTGTCTGGTACCTAGTAAGCTGTTTGATTGATTGATTGATTCATTCATTCATTCACTCACTCACTCACTCATTCATTCATTCACTCAGTTACCTATAGGCAGTAGGTGTAACATATTGGTGATGGCTCAAAAGGTTGGAATTCACCCTAAGCAAGTCACTTATTCTCTCTGAGATTGAATTCTTCACCTATAAAATGGGGCTAATCACATTTGCACTACTTGTAAATCATAAAGCAATATAAAAAGATCTAAGATAATTGTATCCCAGGCTGTTCACTTATCTTAGTATTCTGTGCTCTCTAGCTACCTAGACTAAACAAAGTGTTGATTAGATTTCTATCACTACTGTTAGTATTTTCTTTTTGAAGTGTCAGTCCTTCAAGCTCTTCGCAAGTTGAAGCAGGAACAATTTTGTTTAGGTGCCTCTAAGTTTATGCAAAGTTGCCATCTTCCATCTAGAGAATTAGAGGAGTAGTGCCCCAGAAGACCACCAGGGGGTGGGCTGACACCATAGAAAACAACATAAACTCTAGGAAACCATGTTGATCCCTGGTTGTGTGAAGACAAGATGGGAATCTTTTTGAATTTTTCATCCTCTGTCCCTACTCTAGGGCCCCACAATCCACAGCATAAACAGATCGCATTACTGAGCTCACTGTCAAACAATAGCTGAGTTTTAGAGAGCATTCTTCACATAAATCATGTCATTTGAGCCTAACAGCATTATGGAATGGGGCCATGATTTTGCCTATAGTCATACACCTAGTAATTAGCAAAGGCGGAATTCGAACTAAGGTGTTCCTGACTTCAGGGCCACAAAACTTCCACTCGGTGTACTTCGCATCATTTTTTCTTATCTTCCCAAATTCCACAAGCCAGCAAAATGTGCCATTCCCCAACATTACAATTTTCATCTTTCATCCTATTAAGGTGTTGCCTATTAATTGAATTAACTTATTGATGAGGCTAAACGTCATTTAAATGTATGTAGTCTTCTAAAATAAGACTATTCATAACACTTTTTTATAACGTTGCTATTTTACTGTTCTTTTTTATCCTATTTTATAAATATCTTTAGTTTTGACAACACTTTCATTTCTGAATGTATTCCTCCTCTGTTCCCTACCTAGGGAACCATCCCTTGTCACAGATTAAAAAAGAAAGAGAAACAAAAGCAGGGAAACAACACTAACTGATACATCAACTACTTTCTATAGTTTATGTAATATTCCACACCCAAAGTCTTCTGCCTCTGAAATATGAAAAAGGAAGATGTATTTTCCCAGTTTTTTCCCAGTCATTATGTTACTGTTCATTTTAACTCCAGCATTTTAACTTGTTAATACTAGTTTCTTTGCCCTGTAAATAGTACTAGCTGATTAATACACGTTGTTTGGTTGATGGATTGTTCAAGAGTTTTTAGATCACAAAATCCAAATATTTGTGGAAGTCAGATGTTTCAGGTCTAAATAGAGAGCAATCTCCCTCCTTCTCTTCTGACCTTCCAGGTACAATACTTCTGTTCACTGGACCAATATGGGATCAGTGATTTGGTCTCTATACTCTAGACCAGGGGTGGGAAATCTGTGGCATTCTAGGTCCCTGGGTGTGTCCTTTTAACTGAGTCCAAGTTTTACAGAACAAATCATTTTATTAAGAGGATTTGTTCTGTGAAGTCTGGATTTAGTCAAAGAGGATCTAGGCCACATGTGGCCTCAAGACCACAGGTTTCCCACCCTTGCTGTAGACTCTAGACTCTGAGTCACCAGAGCAGGGGAAAGAGAAGAGAATCCCTCTTCCATCCTTTCTCAAGACAAGCATTTTCATAGGTATTAAATTTCTCTCTTCCACTAAATTCCTACTTGCCATTGCACAGAAAAGGCCTTAGATTCCAAAGACTAAGCTAGAAAGAGTAGAGAGTATGATCAGGGGACCAACCTGGCAAAGTCTTGAGAACTTTCTCAGCAGATGGTGGCCACGGAGGTGATTATGATCTTTTTGAGGGGGACCACAGGAATAGTTTTGGTGGAAGGAGAACTTACTCCAATGAAATCACAGGCCTTTTGAAGCATTACAATAGCTGGCTATAATCATCTCTGTGTAGCTAATCCTAGTAGGGTTTAATTCTTCAGCAAACTCATAGGTTCTCTTCCCAACCCTTATTTGGGTTGGCACAAAGAAGCCCACCTTGGAATTGCTTGGAAGAAAAGAAAAGGACTTTTCTCTTTCTCTTCTTGGGATCACTAAATTTTAGGCTTGAGGAAAAGTCAATTTTCCAAAATATAATAAATGACTTCTAGGGTTGTTTCTTCCAGCATCTCTTACACTTCCCTTCTGTGTGTTCACTTCATGAACCTTTGAGCTCTAGGCTGCTGCTCAGGGTTTCATTACCATGAACTTGCCTTTGGTTTTGCCAAAGTCTCTTCAGGTTTGAGCAAAACAATGTTTCCTTCACCTCTTCTCTATATTTAGCTATCTTCCCAGCCCTCAACTTCCTAGCAACTAATTGCATTTCTGATGTTTGTTCTATAATGGTAGGTCAGGCTTCCTCTTTTCCCTTCTCCTCCCTTCCCCACCCCCAACCAGTTGTGGGCGAAGGACTCCCAGCCCTTCCCTCAAGGCCAGATGAGGCAGCAGGGTGCTCACCTGCTTATTCTGGACAAATAACTGGAGAGGAGGTTCCCCTGGTTGCATCTCTTATTACCGGTAATTTTTATCTATTCTCCAGGGGAGCTGATGTGTGCTGGGTGGAACTCCTGTTAAATGCATTTGGGTTAGTTGTAACTACCTGTTGACACAGAAGTGTGTTGTCCAAAAAGGTATGAAGTTAAATATTTTCTTTTTATAGTGGGGAGGAAGAAGCTTTGTTTCCAAAAAGATTATGTAATAAATTATTGCTTGTTTACTAGCTGGCAGAACAAATCTGTAAGGGGTGTACTTTGGGAGGCAAAACCCAAGCCCACTCACTCATCTAATTTTTTTTGCAGTTTGCTCTAGAGTGGGATGAAAACTTGTTAAAATGATTACTAGAGTCTGACAATCACCCCTCATTTCTTGAATGTCTCGGAGATCTACTGGAATGTTCTGCTTTCACAGCAGTTTCAAATTGTCCCCATCTGCTTTGGTCACCTTCCATCAGGCTTGCCTGGCATCTCAGGTTGGTGTCAGGTCCTACAAGCTGAGCTGCTGACTGCCATGCCGACCCAGCTAGAGAAGGCCATGGACACCCTCATTAAAATCTTTCACTGTTACTCCAGCAAAGAAGGGGACATGTTCAAGCTCAACAAAGGGGAGTTAAAGCTACTTCTCCAGAATGAGCTCACTGACTTCCTATCAGTAAGTGAGCTTTTCTTTTCTCTCTGTCTTTCAATTGGAGGTAAATGGAGGCAGTTCCAGCAATAGGAGTTGCATGTTCTACTGTTGTTTCTTTTGGATCTTGCAATTTGACAAAGTGTCAACTGGGCCTGGTGCTTCAGATACACATAGATGGATGGATGGCTAGATAGATAGTCATAGATAGATAGGTGGGTGGGTAGATGGATGGATAGATAGGTGAATAGACAGATAGATAGACAGAAGACAGATAGGCAGGTAGATAGAGAGATAGAGAGACAGACAAAAAGACAGGCAGGCAGATAGATAGATAAATAGACAAATAGAAAGACAGACAGATTAATAGATAAATAGATATAGATAGACAAATAGGCAGGCAGACAGATACATAGATATAGATAGATAGGTAGACAGATAGATAGACAAAAAGTCAGGCAGGCAGATAGATAAATAGACAAATAGAAAGACAGACAGATAAACAGATAGATTAATAGATTAATAGATAAATAGATATAGATAGATACGTAGATAGACAAATAGGCATGCAGGCAAACAGATAGAATTAGATAGGTAGGTAGATAGATAGATAGATAGTTAGACAAATAGACAGGCAGGCAGACAGGCAGATAGATAGATATAGATAGGTGGATAGATAGATAGATAGATAGATAGATAGATAGATAGATAGATAGATAGTTGACAGACATATAGACAGGCAGGCAGATAGATAGATACAGATATAGATAGATAGATAGATTTATATACATATATAAAATCAAAAGCCCAGCATGAAGTATGTGTGCATTTCATGATACATGTGGTTGAGGTGTGCCCTAAGACTACTTTCACCTGCTTACCCCTGACCCTTTTGGTTTGTCTGCCATAGACCTAGAGCTAGAAGACACCTTGGAGGTCATTTAGTCCAACTTCCCTATTTTGTAGGTGAGAAAATGGAGGCCAAGGGAAGCCAAGTGACTTAACCAAGATCACATAGGCAGTGTCAGAGGCAGGCTTTGAACCTAAGTCTTTCTAGAGTCACTGCTCTTTCCACTGTACATTGTGAGCAGAACAGAAAGGAGAGAAAGTCAAAAGTGGAAGACCACTAAAGTGCCTACCAGTTCCAGATCTATGATCCCTACTCTTCTTTGAAACTCAGTTCCCTGTACCTCCCTCCATGAGGCTTTCTAGATCCTTCCAGATGCTAGTGTCTCCACCTGAAAAGACCTCATATTGACTTTTTAAACTTTTTATCTCTGCTTATATATATATGTACATATTGTTTCCCCAGATGGAATATAAGCTCTTTGAGTTCAGGGATTGCTTCATTTTTTTTTTTTGTATTTGTGTCTCCAGCATCCCACATAGTGCCTGGAATATTGTAGATGATAAATGCTTATTGATGAATTGATTGATAATCCTGTCATTTTGTTGGCAATTCAGCTCATAGAGCAGGGAGCCATGCCTAGCTGGTGGCAAAATCGTATTGGGTATGATTCATCTGGGCCAGGATTTAAGTTATGGATGATGACATTTCATGTAGCTTGCTCTTCAGTTGATTAAAATATAGGCTTCCTTAGAAGAGAGGGAGAAAAAAGTCAATTTTGTGTAGTGAATGACTAAGATTTGGAAAGCTGCGTCAACTCAGCACAAGCTGATTGGAATCAATAGCTGGGGGTGTGTCTGGAATATGAGCCAGTTCAGGAGACCAGGTGCATAGCAAACAGACACTCTTCTCAAATTGGCAAGGTTCAATAAATCTATGGAAAAGGCCTCCTATTAACAGATTGCGGCACCATCCTGATGAAAAAGTCACATCTTGTGGCATGAGGGAGCTGCCTTGAATTGATCTGAGCACAACCAGGATGCTCAGGCAAGACGTTATTATGAATAAAGAATGTCATAAGACTTCAAAACACTTCTGAAATGTAACCAGTAAATTATATGGATCTTGTTGTGATATAGTCAGGCTTAATGTACATTTTGAAAAATAAGGTATAGTATTCTACATGACCCTTGTTCAAGATTGGGTGCAGTTCAGTGAGCATTTGTTAAGCACGTACTATGTGTAAGGCCCTGTACTGGACACTAGAACGTCTGGGGTATTGTTTTATTTCAAACTTTCAACTAAGTTACTTCATTGCATGACACTAAAGACTAGATACTCAGTAGGTAAAACTCAAACTTGATACACCAATGCATTTTACACAATTTTGTTTCTGTTAAGCTCATTTTGATCAAATGTAAATTTTATGAGCTTTACTGGTGGTGGTTAGTAATATCATGTGAGAAGGGAGATAGCAGGGTATAGTGGGAAAAGCCCTCAATTTTGAGTTACACGACTTGAGGTAGAATCCTGGCTTATTGCCAGTGTGACCTTAACTTCTATGGTCTTCAGTTCCCTCATCAGTAAAATGGGGGGGGGGATTGGATTAGATGACTTCAAAGGTATATTTTTGCTCTAAATGTATGATCCCATGATTCTAAGGCCTTTATTCACAACTGGAGAAAATGAATCACAATAAAACAAACATTAGTCAGAGAAGAGGTAAGACTTTCTATGGGCCTTCATCTTTTCTAAGCCCAAATATATCTTGACTCCCTCCCAAACATAGATATTCTTTGCATTCTGAAAATACTCTTTAGGTGACTATAATATAAACTATTTTCTTATCTGTCTGGTAGTTCATAAAAGAAAAAAAAAACTGTTATTGGGAGATTGTTTTAGTGTTCATTCCAATCTGTGCTGTGATGATAAGGTCTTACAGGGTGGGACTGGGTCTGTCTAAATCAGGGTGTTCAGCACCAAGGACACCACCACGCACACGGAAAATGTCTTTGGATGATGAAATCTTCGATGTAAATACCAGCTGTAAATACCAGATGGTATTTGTGAGCTATTGTGTGCCCCCACCCCAAATCTGAAAGCTGGAAATTTCTTTTTTTTTTCTTTTCAGTGCCAGAAGGATCCTGAATTGGTCGACAAGATCATGAAGGATCTGGATGCCAATAAAGACAATGAAGTGGACTTTAATGAGTTTGTAGTTATGGTGGCTGCCCTGACAGTGGCTTGCAACGATTACTTTGTAGAGCAGCTGAAGAAAAAGGGAAAGTAGAAAGAAGGGACAAATGAATCTTCCAGGCAAATACATGACCTGACTTATTTATTCCTCTACAGGCCTCCCATCACCAAGTTGTAATTAGCCTTGAAATGTCATTAAATAAGATACGCTATAAAATGTTTTGCCTTTAACTAATGCCTTTTAAAATTGTCCAAATCTTGTGTGCTCTATATTAACATTGTATAGATCTATTAGAATGGTCATAAGCATTTGCTTACAGTCAGAAAAAAAGACTATCACAAATATCTAGCTATTCTCCAGCAAGGCTAGTAGTATTTGAAACATTTATATTTGTATTTGTTTCTACTCAAATGTCCTGGTAATTGGTTTATGTCTTCTTGTCTTGCCCTGCTCCAGTCCATCTAAACACAATACCAAAATAGTTTTCCTAAGGCATTGGTCTGTCACTCTCTTGTTCGAATGTCTTCAGTGACTCCCTATTTATTCTAAAGTAAATTATAAACTCCCCCACCTAACACTGAAAGCTCTCTACAACCTGGATTTTTAGACATTTTATTTGACTTGCCCTCATACCATAGGTATATGTAGCATATTTCAATAGGTTGTATACCCAGAGACTTTTTATTTTTTAAAGATGAATATTTATTGAACACCCAAACCAACAAATCTAAACTTAATTTTAAAAACTTGACTTTAAAAATATAAACATTTAATGATGAGATACAAAATTTGAAAAAAAATATTTTGAATCATTACAATGTGCCCAGAAATACCTGGTATACTCTGTGCTCAAGTTCATGTTTCACATACTCTTCCATTCCAATTTAATTATTCCCTAAACATTATTCCATCTCTTAACCCTAGACCAGGGGTGGGGAACCTGTGGCCTTGAGGCCACATGTGGCCCTCTAGGTCCTCAAGTGTGGCCCTTTGACAGAATCCAAACTTCACAGAACAAATCCCATCAATAAAAGGATCTGTTCTGTAAAACTTGGGCTGAGTCCAAAGGCCGCACCCAAGGACCTAGAAGGCCACATGTGGCCTTGAGGCTGCAGGTTCCCCAATCCTGCCCCAGATCCTCACAGAGGCCATCTATCTATCTCCCAGTTCTGGCTGGGCTCTGTCCTTGACTCCATGTCTTGGGATCTTTCTTATCTTTCCAGGATCCTGCTTAGGTGCTTTCTCCCTCATGAAGGCTCTCCTGATTCCCTCCATTGTCCCCCATCTCACCCTCCCCAATTTACCTTGTATTTTCTTATCTGCCTACATGGTATATCCCTGCAGTAGAATGTCAGAGATTTGAGGGCATAGAATGCTATTTTTTGTCTTTACATATCCCCAGTGTCTAGCACTATGCCTTATACATAGTAGATGTTTAATAAATATTTCTTAAATTGCGGTTTTGTTGAAGTGATATTTCTCTTCATGATTACTAATTTGTACTTCTCCATGAACACTTGGAAATCTTATTTGGGACTTTCTCATTACACAAAAGAGAGGAATGAATTCTATCTCCCTCCCCCCTCGTGCCACTTTCCTATTGAAAGGATCCAGCGATGCTAATTAAGATTATGAAAGATTTGTGAGCGAATGGGCCATGCTATTAGTAAAAAAAAGCAGTGCTGATCCTTTAGTGACATCTTGTTAGTCCATGGGCAGCACAAGCAGGTCCCAGATGCAGGAAACCTGCAACAAAATGAGGCTTTTGTTGGGGGCAGGAGGTCTCAACCTATAATTTCATTTGTTTAGAGAATTACTTGCATAGAAACTTCTTTTATTTTAAAGTTATAGATGTAGTACATTTCCTGGGGCACACTCCGTGGGCTAATTTGCCTTGGAGGTGAGACATTAATCTATTGCAGATAAAGGGTATAAAACTTCATAGATGTCAGAGAAGTCTAGACCCGGGAGGACTCAGGGGTGCAGAGCTAGGCAAGTGGTCCTGAATTGGGGTACATACAGATATTGAAGGTCATTCACAGGTAATTGGCTCAAACCAGGGACTCAAGGATGTCTTGAAGGATCATGTAGGAATTGAAGGCTGAAACAGTGATGAGTCCAAAAGGCAAGGAAGCAATCTGGACAGCAATAATCAGACATACAGGTAAGGAGCCTGGGCAACAAGGCAGCATGGTGTATTAGAAAGATCACTGGATTTGGAGTCAGAGGAACTGAGTTCAGAATATGGCTCTGCTACTTATGACTTGTGCCAACCAGGGCAAATTAGCTTCTCTCTCTCGGGCTCAATTTCTTCATCTAGTATATAAGAGATTGGATCTTTCCACCTCTAAGTTCTACAACATCATAAGTGTTGGAAACCTGGAAAAGGCTTCAGGTTGAAGGTACCAATCATAAAAAGCAAGTCGGACTTTATGTACCAGAAATGATAACACAAAGAACAAACGAGAGCCAGTTAACAAACTCTTACTAAACACCTACTACGTGCCAGACGCTGTGTTTAGCACTGTGGATACAAAGAATAGCAAAAGATAGTCCTTCCCTTAAGGAGCTCACAGTCTAATGGTACAAATGATAGAAAGACAAGTCTCTGCCCTCAAGGAACTTACATTCTATTGGGGAAAATAGCACATATACAGATGAGTAAATGCACAATACATATGAAGCAAATATGAAGTAATTTTGAGAGGGACAGCAGCTCATGGGGAGAGATTAAGAGAAGCTTCATGTAGGAAGTGGCACTTCAAAAAAATGTTTTTTAAGTCTGAAGAAGAGGTGAGGAGAGATAGCATTTTGGGCCCCGGGAATAGCCTGTGTAAAGGCATAAGAATGTTAAAGGAATAGTATATAGGACAATTTGGCTGGACCTGTGAGCGCATGAAGCAGAGGCTAGCCAGAGGCAGATTGTAAGGGGCTTTAAATGCCAAAAAGTTGTTGCTGTTATTGGTGGTGGTGGTGGTGAATTTATCCTAGAAAAGGGATTATTAACCTGAGGTTCCTGAACTATTTTTCATTAACGTTTTGATAAATATTTCAATATAATTGATTTGATTTCTAATCCTATGTATTTTGTTTTATGCATTTAAAAACATTATCCTGATAAGAGGTCCACAAGCTCCACCAGACTGCCCAAGGGGATCTATGACACACACAATGAAGATTAAGGACCCCTTTCCTGGAGGTCTTGGAAGATTTCTCAGCATTGGAGATTTCTTAGCAGGAACCTGGCCTAATCAGATAGGAGTTTTAGAAAAATCACCTTGGCAGCTGAATGGAGAATAGATAGGATTGGGGAGAGATTTGAGGAAGGGAGAATAATTAGGAAGATCTTACAATAAATAGTTCAGGTGGGAGGAGATAAGATTCAGAGTTAGGGTAGAGACTGTGTGAATGGACAGATGGGTACAAATGTAAGGGATGTCACAGAAATAAAATTAACAAGACTTGGCAACTGTTGGATATGGAGGGGGAGGGAGAATGAAGGGTCAAGGTTGATTTTTGAAGTTGCGAATCTAGGTGACTGGAAAGCCTACTGTGTAGCTCTTGTAAAGGTAGGGGTGCTCCAAGATTGCCTAGCCTAAGATTTACAGGTGGGATTTATTGGTGGGAATACCTACCTGGAGTGAGACTGACTGACTTACTGAACAAAAGAATAAATGAATGAATAAATGAAAAAAATATTTATTAATCACTTTCTATATACCAGGTACTATGCTAGATGCTCGGGCTGCAAATGCAAAAGCTTGCATTCTTCTGGGGTTGGGGTGGGGAACCTGTGGCCTCGGGGCCACATATGGCACTCTAGGTCCTCAAGGTAAAGTTTGGATTCAGTCAAAGGGACTCACTTGAGGATCTAGAGGGCCACATGTGGCCTCGAGGCCGCAGGTCCCCCATTCCTGTACAATACATATAGGGAAGTTGTGGCCAAGAAGGGACACTGGAATACTGAGTAGAGCCTTTGGGGAGTAAGTTGGCATCCTGGCATCCTGGAGCAATTTTACAGTTGATTTGATCATGGTTCATGGTTCCAGAACTAGAAGGGGTGGGGATGAAGTAAAGATCATTTCTGTGGAGGAGGTGGCTGGAGAGAAGGGAGTGAAGAGAAGCCTGGAGGCTGGGGGTTTCCAGAAGAGGCAGTCATGGATTAAGAAAGTGGCAAATCAGGGGTTCTTAAGCTTTTTTGAGTCCTGGGCCCCTTTGGAAGTCTAGGGGTGTCTATGGAGCCTTTCTCAGCATAATGCTTTTAAATGCATAAAATGAAATACATGCGATTATAAAGGAAACTGGTTATTGAAATAGAGAGGTAATTTTCTTCCAAAATCATGGACCCCATGAAATCAGTCCAGGACCCCAGGTTAAGAACCTTTATTTCTAGGGCATGGTCTCTGATGTGGGCAGCAAAGCTGTTGACAGGACTGTGGAGGCAGTGGCAAAGCTATACATTCCTGTGATGGAGGAGTCCAGTGCAGACTGTAGTTTGGAGAGAAATTCCCTGTGGGTGCTGACTTGTAATCACTCAAAAGAGTTTGGTCCCAATAATTACAGAAGGCCTGGACCTCTCAGTGGTACAGATACTGCTTCAGCTGCTGCTTGTATGGTTCCAGAGTCCAAATCCAACAACCCTTTGTATGAGGTTTGAGAGAACTGTGTAATTCCTCAGAAAAGACCGCAAGACTAAGCAAACCTGGCAGGAAAGGGATGGGAGATGGAAATAGGGAGGAAGGACAATAGATCTTTAGGGAAGGGTAGGGAAGTTTGGGGCCAACATTAAATGAGATTATGAAGTAGGTGGGAAAGATTATTTTAGATAGCCTCTAGCTCCCTTGTCTGCCATCTTCTCTATCCTTCAGGCAACTAGGTGGCACCGGAGATAGAGCACTGGGCCTGAAGTCAGGAAGATCTGAGTTCAAATTCAGCCTCAGACATTCTACTAGCTGGGTGACCCTAGGCAAGTCACTTAGCCTCTCTCTATCTCAGTTTTTAACTATAAAATGGGGGTACCTTCCAGGGTTTTCGTGAAGATCAAATGAGATAATAATTGCAAAATGCTTAGCACAGTGACTGTCACATAGTAAGCATTTAATAATTGCTCATTTCCTTCCTTTCTTCTTTTGTTCCTCCCTCCCTCCTTTCCTTCCTTCCTTCCTCCCTTACTTCCTTCCTTCCATTCTTCTTTCTTTACTTCTCTCCCAAATTTGATGTGTTATCCCTCTCTGGAGTATTTGCATTTAAAAAGAG